GACATTCGCAAGGACCTCTATGCCAACACAGTGCTGTCTGGTGGCACCACCATGTACCCAGGCATTGCTGACAGGATGCAGAAGGAGATCACAGCCCTGGCACCCAGCACAATGAAGATCAAGGTGAGTGTCTTCCCAGCCTGAGCTGGTGGTCTGGTCCCATCAGGTTAGGTTCCAGGAGGTAGGAGTGCTGTGACATCCAGGGTCCTCAATGACTGTCCTTCCCTCTGCAGATCATCGCTCCCCCTGAGCGCAAGTACTCTGTGTGGATTGGCGGCTCCATCCTGGCCTCTCTGTCCACCTTCCAGCAGATGTGGATCAGCAAGCAGGAGTACGACGAATCTGGCCCCTCCATTGTCCACCGTAAATGCTTCTAGGCGGACTGTTACTTAGCTGCGTTACACCCTTTCTTGACAAAACCTAACTTTGCGCAGAAAACGAGATGAGATTGGCATGGCTTTATTTGTTTTTTTTTTCCTTTTTGTTTTTGTTTTTTGTTTTGGCGCTTTTGACTCAGGATTTAAAAACTGGAACGGTGAAGGTGACAGCAGTCGGTTGGAGCGAGCATCCCCAAAGTTCTACAATATGGCCGAGGACTTTGATTGTACATTGTTCTTTTTTTTAATAGTCATTCCAAATATAGTGAGATGCATTGTTACAGGAAGTCCTTCGCCCTCCCAAAAGCCGCCCCACTCCTCCTCCTGGAGGATGGCCCAGTCCTCACCCGAGTCCATACAGGGGAGGTGACAGCATTGCTTTTGTGTAAATTATGTAATGCAAATTTTTTTAATCTTAGCCTTAATACTTTTTTATTTTGTTTTATTTTGAATGGTCAGCCATCGTGGCCCCCTTTTTGTCCCCCAACTTGAGATGTATGAAGGCTTTTGGTCTCCCTGGGAGTGGGCTAAGGTGTGGAGGCAGCCAGGGCTTACCTGTACACTGACTTGAGACCAGTTCAATAAAAGTGCACACCTTAAAGATGAAGTGTTAATGTGGCTTTGTGGTATTGTTGGGTGTGTGGGCCGTTGAGGGTGCTCAGGAAGATGGGTTGGTATTTGGGGCCAAAGTAGCCATCCTTGCATTGAGGTTGGGGGTTGAGGTTCTCCTGCTAGAACAAAAATCTCTGGCCTGGCCTTCCCTCACTATGCCAGGTTACCCTGGGTTGTGAGATGCTTCTAAAAGGGTAGGGAGCTATTCTCCACTTTGCTGGGATGGTGGAGTGACAGCTTAGTGCCTGCTATACCTGGTGATGGATTGATTCACCTGGTGGAGGCTCAATTCTTGTAACATGGAGTGGGTAAGGAGGGCTCCTGGGCTACATCCCTTTACCACCCTCACCAGTTTCTTGGAAGAGTCCTGTCCTGGTGACTGACTTGGTCCCATCCAGTTCTGCACCAGCTACCTGCAGTATGGTGCTTTGGCTTAAGCTATCTGCAGATTTTGGTGGGCACAGCAGAGAAAGCCTGATGGGGTAGGGAACTGAACTGAGGTCTAGGATTCAGGAATGGATGGAGGATATCTGCCTCTAACAGTCCAAGGCTCATCCTCTAGGGCCCAGCTATAGAGGATGGGGATCACCTGGAGCTGCAGGCCGGCCTCCGACTTGGTACTGCTGCTGCTCCCCTTCTAAAGCTGATTGACAGCAAGGAAAGGGAGTGGAGTTGCAGTGCAGCTTCCGCTGGTAAGAGTAGCCTCACCCTGAGCAGTCTAGGAGGCCCACAGAAGGATTTAGGGAGATAGGGCCCTCTTGGCACTTCAGCTCTTTGAGGTGGTGAGTTTGCAAGGAAGTTCCATCTTGGGACCATTAACTGCCTACTATGCTGGACCTGAGGTTGCTGAGATAATCTGGCCTTGGAGGAACTGTCAATCAGAACAAGTACCCCACCCATCCATCCATTCACAAACAGATAATCAAATTTTTGTCCCAGATCTGGGGGTATACTGGAAAACAAATGTCCCCTGCCCTCATTAGGAATCCAGGGTAATGGGGGAAAGCATCAACAGGAATAAAAAAGTGAGTTCACAAATACAAGCTGTGATAATGAGAAGAGCAGAGGCTCTGATAAAGAATATAGCATCATGTCAAATGTGATTTCAAGGTATAGACATGCATCAGAACAAATTGTACCTCAATAAAGCTGACTTAGTTTTTGGTACTGGAGATTTAACCCAGGGGCACTTGACTACTGAGGAACATGGTACATCCCCAGCCTTTTTTTTTTTTTTTTTTTGCTACATTGCTGAGGTTGGTCTTGAATTTTTTTTTTTATGTGTATTTTTTAGTTGTACACAATACTTTTATTTTGTTTATTTATTTTTATGTGGTGCTGAGGATCGAACCCAGGGCCTCGCACGTAGTAGGCAAGTGCTCCAACCCCAGTCCCTGGTCTTGAACTTTTGATCCTCCTGTCTCAGCCTCCCTAGCTCACCTCATGGAAAAAACATTTTTTAAAAGCAACCATTTTGCCTTTTTTGGATAATAAGGTAACAAAGGACCATGGAACTGGGCCTTCTGAGATGGGGAGGCTCCTCCCAGGCTTCCTGGGGGAAGAATCCTTAAGGTGGCCTCAGGCCAGAGAGGGACCTGGGTGGTATCATTGCTGTCATAGGCATGACTTGATTGTGGACAGAGGTCTAGAGACTAGACAGGCCCCAGGGCAGAATGTCTTACCTATGCGGCCTTGGGAAAGAATCATCACTATTCAAGGCCCCCTTTGAGAAATGGGCACCTCACTAGCGGTAGGCGGGGCTATGGAAAGTGGTGTTCCAACAGTTTTTGCCTTTAAAGGCACCGGAAGTGCAACCCAGACACAAGACACTTTGGGCTTTGAGAATCCTCTGGCCCATCCCTTCCTTTCTGGGACAAGCAGCCAGAATGGCTGAGTCTGGAAAACCCAGTGTCATCAGCATCCTCACCCACAGGGTTCAGAGTGAGGGAATGCCATATTGCCTCCCACTTCCTCTCTGCACCCACTTCACAGGTTAGGAGCCTGAGGCTTTGAGAAGACTGGTGGCTGATCTCAGGTTTTCCAGTTTGAAAGTGAGAAGCCTGGAGTCTCATAGGTTTGTCTTTGACCCTAATGCTTCTGAGACCCCCTCAGTGCCCACCCTACTCCGCCTTCCTGGTCAGGTCAATGGGCCTGAAGAACCAAGTTTTCCCACCCTTAATTCTTTGTTTTCCAGAAATGTGGACGCTCCACCCGCTGTTCAGCTTAGCTCTGCCTTGGCTGACTCCACAGCTGGGAAGGGAGGCTTCCCACTGATCTGGGTAGCGGGCGCCCCCAAAAGTTCACCTTTCTATGAGCTGAATCTCACCTCACCAGAAGGTCCCTCCTCCGCGAGGCATCCCTGCTTCTACAGAGCTGCACCCCCACAGACTGTTCAGAAGAGGAGAGTCCCAGCACATGCACGGATCCAGGATTTTGGGTCATCCCCCTCTGGACGCTTCTTAAAGGAGGGAGCCCAATGTGGTGGATGGAGGGAGCCTACTCCTGGTCATACGACTGTTGCAGGTTGGCTGTCTTCCCTCTGGGAAACTGAGGTTTGGAGGGTAGGACATTCTGGGGTGGCAGTGGCAGGATCTGAACACACTCTGGTGGAGCACAGGCTGTGGAGGAGTTTGCCTGCATTGCACCAGGAGAGGGGCAGGCAATGGGGCAGCACTGATGGGTGGCCACCCTGGTGATCCTCAGTGGTAAAGGCACAGAGGAAAGGATATCTTGTTTGGCTGGAGTCACCAAGAAACATAAGCTGGAATCATTCAGAACTCATGCCACTGACTGGTGGTCCTTTATCCATGCAGTCATTTTTCTTTCATTTTAAAATGAATGTCATTTATCGGATGTGCAACCTTTTTTTTTTTGTTCCAGGGATTGAACTCATGGGCATCAGCCACAGAGCCACAACCCCAGCCTTATTTTGTATTTTATTTAGAGATGGTCTCACTGAGTTGCTAAACTCCTCGCCATGGCTGAGGCTGGTTTTGAACTTGCGATCCTCCTGCCTTAGCCTCCCGAGCCATGCTGAGATTATAGGCCTGCACCACAGTGCCCAGCCCATGCAGTCATTTTTCATCCAACACACCTTTTTTTTTTTTGGTGCTGGGGACTGAACCCAGGGCCTTGTGCATGTGAGGCAAGCACTCTACTAACTGAGCTATATCCCCAGCTCTCATCCATATTATTATATAGTTTACTTTTTTTTTTCCTCGGGTACTGGGGATTGAACCAGGGTTGCTTTGCCAACTTAGCCTTGCTAAATTGCTGAGGCTGGCCTCAAACTTGTGATCTTCCAGCCTCAACTTGAGATCTTCTTCAGCCTCTAAGCTTCTGGAATTGCAGGTGTATGCCACCACACCCAGTTTACATTTAAAAAAAATTAATTTTTATTAGTTATTAATGGACCTTTATTTATTTACTTGTTTATATGCGGTGCTGAGAATCAAACCCCGTGTCTCACATATGCTAGGCAAGCGCTCTACCACTGAGCCACAACCCGAGCTTGTTTTGATATAGGATCTTACTAAGTAGCCCAGGCTGGCCTTGAGCTTGGGATCCTCCTGCCTCAGTCTTTTAAGTCTGCCATTGTAGCTGGGTGCCATTGCACCTGACCCAACATACATTTTGAGCAGCCCATAGTGCTAGGTGGGGGACCACTGTGACAAGGAGACATTTTTTCTTTTTTGGTACTAGGGATTGAACCCAGGGGCACTCAGACACTGAGCTATTTCCCCCAGGCTTTTTTTATTTTTTATTTTGAGAAAGGATCTTGTTTTGGGCCTTACTAAATTGCTGAGGCTGGCTTTGAACTTGCGATTCTCCTTCCTCATCATCCCAAATTGCTGGAATTATAGGCATGAACCACCATGCCTGGTTCCTTTTATATTTTTATTTTTTGAAACTGTGTGTGTGTGCGTGTGTGTGTTGAACTCAAGGGCACTTGACACTGAGCCATATCCCCAATCCTATTTTGTATTTTATTTAGAGACAGGATCTCACTGAGTTGCTTAGTGCCTCATTGTTGCTGAGGCTGGCTTTGAACTTGCAATCCTCCTTCTCAGCCTCCTGGGCAGCTGGGTATACAGGAGTACACCACCAGACCTAGCACAAATCAATATTTTTAAGAACAGTTTTATGCTTGTAGCAAAATTGAAGGGAAAGTACAGAGAGTTCCCAGTACTTCCTGTTCCCACGTACCCACCCACCCACGGCCTCCCCTACTGCCAACACCCTGAGGCAAAGGGTTACGTTTGTTACAACTGGTGAAGATACATGGACACAATATTACCCAGAATCCCAGGTGTACATTACAATTCCCTTTTGGTGGTGCACATCCAATAGGTTTGCATACATTTCTTTTCTTTATTTTTGGTACCAGGGATTGAACCCAGGGGCATTTAACCACTGAGCGACATCCCCAGCCCTTTTCTATATTTTATTTAGAGATAGGGTCTCACTGAATTGCTTAGGCCTTGTTAAGTTGCAGAGGCTGGCTTTGAACTCACAATCCTCCTGCCTCAGCTTCTCAAGCTGCTGGGATTACAGATGTGCCCAGTTTAATAACATGAGTTTACCATTATGGTTTCCTACAGAGCAGTTTCACTGCCCTAAAAACCCTCAGTGTTCCACCTGTCCATTCTCACTACCCTCTGGCAACTGCTGATTCTTTGGTACTGGGGATGAAACCCAGGGCTTAATGCACACAAGGTAAATGCTCTATCACTGAGCTCTTCTCCCGCCCATTGATCTCTGTAATGTTCACAATAGTTTTGCCTTTCCCAAAATGTTCTACAGTTGGAATCAAAAAGTATGTTGCCTTCTCAGACAGTCTTCCTTCACTTAATAATATGCATTTCAAGGCTGCGGATGTAGCTCAGCTACAGAGCACTTGCCTAGCATGTGTGAGCATTTGCAATACCCAATATTGCAAATAAACAAGATAATGAAAAGCTCCTAAAACAAGACAAAAAAGAAAAGAAAATCATAATTTCCTCCATCTCTCTCTCCTTTAGGTGCTAGGGATTGAATTTGGGCAAGTCAAGCAGTCTACCACTGAGCCCCATCCTGGATGTGTCCCCCCCACCACCATGGTACTGGGGATTGAATCCAGGACCCCATGCGCACTAGGCAAGTGATCCACCATTAAGCTCCACGTCTTTTCATGGCTTGAGAGCTCAAATCCTTCAGTATTGAATAATATTACATTGTCTGGAGGCACTATGGTTTCTCCATTCACTTAGTGTCATAGTTTGGAGCTGGAAGGTCTAGACCTCAAAGGTCTATGTGTTGAAGACTTGGTCCCCAGAGAATCATGCTATTGGGAGGTGGTGGAAACTAGGAGGTGGGGCCCGTAGGAGAAAGTTAGATAGGTGAGGGGCCCCTTGAGGGTTATGTTGGGATCTCAGCTGCTTCCTCTCTCTCCGGCTTCCTGGCTGGCATGAGGTGAGACTGGATGGAAATCCTCCTTTGTGTTGATTTATCTAGGTATTCTGTTCTAGCCACAGAAAGCTGATGAACATATCTACTGAAGGACATCTTGGCCACTTCTAAATGTTGGCAATTATGAGTAAAGCTGCTGCAGACATGGGTGTGCAGCTATTTGTGGGATAGGAAGGTTTCAACTCCAGCTACATAGTTTGCAAAGTATACTGTGCATTTGTGTGCTGCAGTGGGAGCTCAGGAAAGGATATGGGTCCTTCAAAATGGCTTTTGAGCTAGATGCGGTGGCGCATGCCTATAATGCCAGAGCTCAGGAGGCCGAGGCAGGAGGATCCCAAGTATCAGGTCAACCTCAGCTAGTTAGCCAGACCCTATCTCAAAGTAAAAAATAAAAAGGGCTGGGGATGTAGCTCAGTGGTAGAGCGCCCCTAGGTTCAATTCCCAGTATTGCAAAAAAAAAATTGCTTCTATGGACACTCTGAAGGTAGAGATGATGGGGACTACTTTGGCTGCAGCCTGTGCCTAGCACACAAAGAGCCACCAAAGGGGAGGTGCAGTGGCTCGCCCTTCCAGCAGGCACTACTGAAAGCCCTGTCCCCAGACTCCATCCCTGGCTGCAGGCTCCCAGTTCCTTGAGCTTCTCTCCTCTCTACAACAGCTGAGGATGCTGAACTGGAGGGCTCTCTCCTTCTTGGGTGGGCTCCAATCCCTGCTTCGCGACCCTCAGTGATCCACATTCTCCTCTGCAAGATGGGGATGAAGGGACTGGGGATTGGTGACATTTCCAGTGCCATCCCAACAGAAAGGGACAGTTACAAGCAGCAGCTGGGAATGTGGGCTTCTGTCATTTGTTTTTATTTTTATTTATTTATTTATTTTGTAGGTGCTGGGGATGGAATCCAAGGCTTGTGCATGCCAGGCAATGAATGGGAAGGGGGTGGGGATTTTCAGAGACCACCTGCTTCATTTCCAGCCTCTAACTGGGTTCTCAGTGAATTCCATGGCCCACTGCTTGGCCCTGGGCTCCAAGTTCTGTTCTACACTGGGGCCAGCCAGACACTGCTCTCAGACCATGATCTGTTGGGGATGCTATGAAGCAGTGTCCCCAAACCTGTCCCTACGCCCCTGGAAAGGCCCACGAGAGGGTAGGAGCAACAAGCCATTGGCACCAGCTCCACTCTGGGGGTCCTTGAGCTCAATGCATACAGGTGTCCAACTTGAATATTCCTGCAATTGGGGCAGCCAAGGAAATGTTGATGGAGTGGGTGACTCCTTCTTCCCTAGAACCAGCAGCAGTAGTCTTAGTTCTAGCTTCTCTTGATGGACTTGCTCCTCTGCCATGGACACTCAGAAGCAGTATCTCATTTCATTAATTACTGATTTGGCCAACATCCCTGAAGGGCCGGCTAACTATCAAGCACTACTCTATTGGGGGACAGAAAATAAACAAGTTGCCATGGTGAAACACATACAAAATTACAGAAGGGATGGGTCCAGGAGGCTGGGAAAGAAAAATCCAGGGAAGACTACTAGGAGGATGTGACACTTAAGTTACTGAGAAGCACCATCCAGGAGCAAAGCATCATCCCCCAAGGATAACTCAGTACACTCGATGGCTGGGCAAGCATCTCAAGCTTTCACCATCACGGGACCAGGGAAGGTGAAAGGGTAGAGGGAGGAGCTGAAGGACAACTAGGGTCAGGAGGGCGGAGGCAGAGGTGGGCCAGAATTAGGTTCCAATAGTAAACAATGGGAACTCTCATGAACATGCCTTTTTTTCTTTTTGGTACCAGGGATTGAACTCAAGGATGCTTAACCACTGAGCCACATCCCCGGTCCTTTTCATTTTTTTTTTTTTTTTTTCTGAGACAGGGTTTCAGTAAGTTAGAGCCTCGCTATATTGCTGAGGCTGAGGCTGGCCTTAAAACTTGAGATCCTCCTGCCTCAGCCTCCTGAGTTGCTGGAATTCAGGCATGTGTCACTGTACCTAGCCATTAACACACTTTCGAAGAGACCTGGTCTTGAATGTTGCTCTAGCTGGCTTCAAGTAATCCTCCTGCCTTAACATCCAGAGTGGCTGGGACTACAGGTGTGTACCACTGAACCTGGCTACACCCATTTTTTTCTTTTCAATGTCTGAAGTTGTACTTAACTGTGGACTAAACTGGATGTTCTTTTTTTGGGGGTGGGGGGAGAGATACTGGGGATTGAATCCTGGGCCTTATGCACTCTAGGCAAGTGCTTTAACACTAAATTATATTCCCAGCCTTTTTTATTTTGCCACAGGTTCTGATAAATCGCCAAGACTACTCTCAAACTTTCAATTCTCACTCTCGTTAGTCTCTGGAATTACAAATGTGAGTGACCACACCCAAACCCAGCCCGCTTTTATTTATTTTTATTTTGAGACATGGTTTCAACTTAGGTTGCCCTGGCTGGCCTGGAACTTGCTATCCTCCTGTCCTGCCTCATCCTATCAAATAGCTGGATTACAGGTACTCACCAGCTTAAGGTAGGCTCTTGAATCCAGTATGACTGATGTTCTCAGGAGAGGACCTATGGGGACACGGAGTGGGGAGATGGCCAGGTGAAGACAGAGAAAGAACCTGGGTGATGCTGCTGCCAGACCAGACGCCAAGGATCTCTGGCACCCACCAAAAGCAGGGGAAAAAGCAAGAAAGGTTTGTTTCCTAGAGCCTTTGGAGGGAGCACATCCTTGTACCGATGTTATTTCGAACATGTGGCTTCCAGAAATACAAGTGGATACATTACGGCAGCCCTATAAAACCAGTGTCCTCATCCATACCCAGTTCTGACTCCAAAGCATGAACTTATTCCATGGAGTTTTAGCAGTAAGCTATTTTAAATGCAAGCACTAAGGGGGAAAGGCATATGTCCACCCATTCACGTACTCAGCAAATATTGACTCAGTGTCTGCTACATGCCTGAGTTAGTTCTAGGAATCCCATCCTTGCTTACCCGTTTATGGCGGGGGGGCGGGGGGGCAAAAAGAAAAAAAGACACAGTAGATCGGATGGTGCCAAGAGCTATGAAGAAATGTACCACGGGATGGGGGCGAGTTTGAGTGGTGAAGGTGGGGAGCAGGCTATGCGATCTTTCGGAAGGGGACAGGTGGATTGCAATAGGGAGGACAGTGTAGACTGCTAATGCAAAGGCCTGGTGGTGGGGGCATGTTGGGCCGGCAGAAGGAGGCTGGGGTGGCTGGAAGGGAACAAGCAGAAAGCGGAGGGTTTGCAGAAGGCGCTCAGAAAGTAGGCGGAGGCAACTGGGTACCTACGAGGCTCAATGCGCCCTATTCCTCCGGAGGCGCCACACCCCAAATGGCGGCTCGAGGTCCGCTGTAGGCGAACGGAAGTGCGTATTGCGGACGCCGGAAGTTGTGTTCAGCCCCGCCCCTTGCCGGGTCTCTTGAGCCGCGGACGCGCCGGCTTCCAGCATCCTTGGCGGGGCAGACGGGAGGCCTCGAAGCTGCGGCTCCTGCGGCCGCGGCACGGCCGGCCGGCGACATGGCCAGCTCTGGAGAGGTACTGTCCGCGCCTGTCTCTGCTCTACTTCTGCCTTGGTGGTCTCGGCCGCTCTCGGTCCTTCTCATCCCACCTGACTCCTCCCTCCCGACCCTTCTCCCCGACCCTTCCCCTGCTCTTGGGCCCCTCCTCGCCCCCTCTCGCTCTCCTCCCAGGCCCCCGTCCTGCCTCCGAAGTCACAGATTATCAATTCCCGCTTGTGTTTACCATCCGGTTTCCAATCCCACATCCTTGATGGGCAAAGTGGCTCTCCTCATTCCGTCCCCTGAGTTTCCAGGCCCTTGCTCCAGGCCCCTGTCTCCTGCTTGGCCCTCGCAGCTCTGGGACGTTGCCCCTCCGTGCCCACTTCCAACCCTCTTTTCTGTTTCTGTTCAGTTGCAGTCCAGCCTCCTTCTCTCTGGAGTACTCTATCTGGAGTGTGTGACTTGGTGGAGAGTGATGGAGGGAAAGCCAGTTCACTTAGGGATTTAGGGCTTATCCTGGAATTCCTTCCCCAAACGCTCTACAAATCTGGGTCCGTTGGGGGATACCAGCACGATCTGTGATGTGGTGCAGGGTATTCTCTGCAGGAAAGGGCTAAACAGGGCTCATGAGCTGATTAGTAGCTTCTTTCTTATCTACATGTATACCTGGGTTTTTATCTATCGACTTCCAAAACTCAGCGGTGGGTTCACTTCTAAATCTTAGAAGCATATTTGAGTTCAAGCAGAGGTTCAAGTATTTCCCTCTGAGTGGATGGGACATGGGTATGTAGAAGATGGCTGTGCACGGAGGTGGGTAGGTGGAAGATGGCTGGGGTTTGCTGATAGCGCCTCTTTATTTGAAGTGAATTTGGCCAGAAGTGGCTCCTCTGGCCCCTTGATTGATGGGGAAGGGTGTGTGACCTAACTGCAGACTGTCCATTGAAAAGTCAGGAATCTTCAGTTCCCTCAAGAGTTCTGGGGTATCCTGCTGTATTAGCAGATGCCAATTAGCTGTTATGTGCTTGGGGGATCTGATACCTTGGTTTTATGGAGTGCTGTTTCAAAGGCCCCTTCTGTTCTTGAAATGTGGGGCTTACTGACCAGTGAGGCTGCTTTGTGGCAGCCTCCTCATGGGAGGAGAGGGGAGGTTGATTTTACCCAAAATATAGAGATCTAGGTCCCTTTTTTGAAGGGATGGTCAAATTATTTATTGAGATTTAATTCATGTACACAAAATTCACTCTTTCAAAGTATACAATTCTATCTTGTAAAATAAAAATGCAACCTCTATAGAGTCTGTAGGTTTTATGTCCATTTGTATACTTGGTATTCCTTATGGTATTTAGAACTTTGTTTTTTATAACTAGGGTTCAGCAAGTATTTATTAGTTGATCATTGTTGAGCATTTTTGCACATATTTCTAATAAAGTGTTCAATTCGGTGAATTTTTAAGAACTGTATTAACAAGGCTGTGTAACATCCCCACTATCTGATTCCAGGATGGGGTGTCTGACTTTGGAAGTCCTTTAAAATGCAGTTGCTTGAAGGGTGCACATGTGATCTCAGTAACTTGGGAGGCTGAGACAGGAGTATCGCAAGTTTGAGGACTGCCTCAGGAATTCAGTGAGAAAAATAAAAATAAAAAATAAAAGTGGGCGGGGTGGTGCATACCTGTAATCCTAGTGGCTCATAAGGCTGAGGCAGGAGGATTGCGACTTCAAAGCCAGCCTCAGCCAAAGCAAGGTGCTAAGAAACCAAGTGAGACCTTGTCTCTAAAATACAAAATAGTGCCGGGGATGTGACTCAGTGGCCTAGTGCCCCCGAGTTCAATCCCTGGTACCTCTCCCCACCCCCCAAAAACATAGGGCTGGGGATGTGGCTCAGTGGTCAAGTGCTCTTGAATTCAGTCCTTGGTACCCTGCCCCCCAAAATAAATAAAATAAATAGGGCTGGGAGTGTAGCTCAGGTAAAGCCCCCCAGGGTTCCATTCCTAGTACCTCTTTTCCCCAAATGCAATTGTCCAACACTGCACCACTTTCCAAGAACTAGGGCTCCTTTGTGTTTTTTTTTCTATATATTAATTTTAATTACTTTGAAACAACATAATTTTTGTACCAAAGAAGCACCCATTATAATTGCTAAATTGTAACACCAGCATTTTATGTATCTGATCCAGCTGTGCAAAACTGATCAATTGTTTCTTTTCTTTTTTTGAAATGGGGGTGTCCTTTTGTTGCCCAGCTATTCTCAAACTTTTGGGCTCAAGGGATCCTCCTGTCCACCCACACCTGGCTTCATTTTTTTTTTGGACTAAGCTGAAGTAGAAATTCCAAAGATAAAAGAGAAGCTTAAAGGTCATGTTTATTAGCTAGCACCATAATTCTAGTGTTAGAATCTTTCCAGCAACCTGAAGAAGGATGTGGAAGAGTTGAGGTTAGGGGGATCTAATGGGTAGTTCTTAATTTGTGGCCCTGTTTGTGCCCCAGGGCAACATAGGGTCTAGCAAAGAAGAGTCTCTGGGGCTGGAGATGAAAGCAAAAGCTCTGGGATCAGATGGTAAAGTAAAGGAAGCTCCTCTGAACCTCAGAATCCGCGCATCCAGGGGGCACGCTGGAGTTGCTCCTGAACTGGGGGGTTTCTTCTTGCCAATTAGCTGTTATGTGCTTGGGGGATCTGATATCTTGGTTTTATGGAGTGCTGTTTCGAAGGCCCCGTCTGTTCTTGAAGTGTGGGGCTTACTGACCAGTGAGGCTGCTTTGTGGCAGCCTCCTCATGGGAGGAGAGGGGGGGTTGATTTTACCCAAAATATAGAGATCTAGGTCTTTTTTTGAAGGGATGGTCAAAACTATAGTAAAATCTTTTTTTGGTTTTGTTGTTGGTACTAGAGATTGAATCCAGGGATCTCTACCACTGAGCCACATCCCCAGTCCTTTTTATTTTTTATTTTGAGATATGGTCTTGCTTATTTGTTGGTGGTCTTGCTAAGTTGCTGAGACTGGCCTTGAACTTGTGATCCTCCTGCCTCAGCTTCTAGAATCACTGGGTTTACAAACATGTACCACAACACCTGGTGCAATCATAGGTCCTCTTTTGGTACTGGGGATTCAACCCAGAGGCACTTAACCACTGAGCCACATCCCCAGCCCTATTTTGTATTTTATTTAGAGACAGGTCTCAACTGAGTTGCTCAGTGCCTCACTTTTGATCAGGCTGACTTTGAACTCGAGATCCTCCTGCCTCAGGCTCCTGAGCTCTAGAAATACAGGTATTTACCACCATGCAGAGCCCTTTCTGTGTTTTGAGACAGGATCTTACTAAATTGCTTAGGGCCTTGCTAAGTTGCTGAGTCTGGCCTAGAATTTGCAGTTCTCCTGCTTCAGCCTCCTGAGCTGCCGGATTATTGGTGTGTGCCACCATGCCTGGCCATATGGGTCCTTTTGTAATTCTCCAGGTTTTAGTCAGGTTTGGCATGCCATCTTAGTTCTGAGTCAGATCCATTTCAACCATGTTGCCAGAAGCAAATTTAAAGCCATTCGTGGTGGTACACCCCTATAATCCCAGAAATTTGGGGTATTGAGGCAGGAGGATCACAAATTTGAGGCCAGCCTCAGCAACTTAGTGAAACTCTGTCTCAAATTAAAAAAATAAAAAGGACTGGGGTAAAGTGCCCCTAGATTCCATTCCCAGTCCAAAAAAAAAAAAAAGGTAAGTCCAAGCAGGAACTGGAATATGATGTTGGGTGGGGATGGTAGGATGGTAAGGAGGGCATAAAGGAGTGGCTCTGCCTTCATTTAATAGCACTTCAAATGATTCTGCAGCAGGTGATCCTATGCCTCATCTGGTTCCGTGCCTCTTTCTCCTGGGCATTAAAAAATTCCCATTCAGTTGGGTGTGGTGGTGCATACCATAATCCCAGTGATTCCGGAGGCTGAGGCAGGAGGATTGAAAGTTTGAAGCCAGCCTTGGCAATTTAGTGATGCCCTAAGCAACTTAGACCCTGTCTCAAAATAAAAAATAAAAAGGGCTAGAGATGTAGCACGATGGTAAAGTGCCAAAAAAAAAGAAAAGAAAAGAAAAATCCCTGTTCAAAATGGGCTGGTGTGGAGGTGCCAAGGACTCAGGAGGCTGAGATGGGAGGATCACTTGAGCCCACCCTAGGCAACATAGTGAGGCCCTGCCTAACCTGCAGTAAAATCCCTGTTCCAGGAGTGGTTCCTGGTGTAGTGGAGAAGCTATCACAAATTCCAGGCCAGCCACAGCATTTAGTCAGACCCTTAGTAACTTAGTGAAACCCTGCTTCAAGATAAAAATTAAAAAGGACTGGGATGTGGGCTGGGGTTGTGGCTCAATGGTAGAGCACTCGCCTAGCACGTGTGAGGCCCTGGGTTCGATCCTCATCACTACATATAAATAAATAAAATAAATGTATTGTGTCCAACTACAACTAAAAAATAAATATTAAAAAAAAAAAAAAAAAAGGACTGGGATGTAGCCTACTGGTATAGTACCCCTGGGTTTGATCCTCAGTACCAAAAAAAGAGTTCAGTTAGTAGATTCCTCTCCCTCCCACCACCTGGTGCTGGGGATTGAACCCAGGGCCTTGGGCATATAAGGCAAGCTCTACCAACTGAGCTATATCCCCAGCCCCACAGTTCTTAGTTTGTGAAATAAAGCATGCACAAGGCCTTGAGTTAAATCCCCAGCACCACAAAACAAACAAATTGTGGGAGCCCATTCTTCTGTCTGGGTCCACACTCTTAGTGTCTTGCCTGTCCTAAGCTTCCTTTCTTGAGTGCATGGTGTGTTAACTTAGAGAAGTTGTCTCAGGAAGCCTGAGTTTGGACCAGGCTGTTGCAA